GGATATCTTGCATATCCTGTCGCAATATCCGTGGGATGTCCTGAGGAGAAAGTGTGCTGTCTGGGTAACTGTTTGTCAAAATTTTTTCTTTATCAGCAAGTTTAGTTGATTTTGTTAGGTAACATGACAGTTTAATTTTATAATTAAAACATTATAAAATTAAATCTAAGCCATTTATAGTTTTATTTAATGAACAGAACTATTTTTTTCGATTCAACCTTCATTCGATTTTCATCAGCAAGTTTGGTTAGGTTATGCCAGTTTATTTTATAATTAAAACATTATAAAATTGAATTTGAGGCATTTATAATTTTATTTTATGAACAAAACTATTTTTCGATTAGTAAACATTCATTATAGTCAATCAAGCCTCCAAATGACACTGTTGGCAAAACTAATCCTGAAATAAAAATTGTGTGAGCAGAACCTGTACCTCTTAACCTCTGCTCTTCGAATTGTCAAATTTAAGTATTTACAGCTGACTTCATTTGATATATTTACATTCATCCAAAATGTAAACATGAAAAATTTGGAAGCCCATGGGGCTTAGCCCAAGGTAAATATATGAAAATGAAATGATATAGTATTGCATTGTCATTCATTTGTGAGCTATATTCCAAGTTTAAAGCATAGATAAAACATACTAGTCTCTAGCTCAACAGTAAGTTAGTTTAAAATCGATTTAAAAATGTGTAAGAAAGGGAACCGATAAAAACAAGCCCATGGGGCGTAGCCCAAGGGGAATATGAAAATTAAATTATATAATATTGCATTGTCATCCATTTGAGAGCTATGAGTTTCAAGTCTCTAGCTCATCGGAAAGTTAGTTTAAAATTGATTGCAAAATTTGTATAGGACAAGAAAGTGAGCTGATAAAAATGTTTTAAAAACCATAGCTCATTCATAGATTCAGGTTGTATAAATGTATCTAAAAAAGGAAGGTTTGTTAAAAATCTATTTTCAACATTACAATTTTGTACATCACATACTTTTTAGACAAACAGAAAAAAACCTTTAGCAATCTTTTAGGCAAGGAGTCATCATAATATAAAACAGTACCTATTTAATAGCATTATACATTTTTATTTTGTAAAATTATAAAAAATCTATACATTGTTACTATTGTTAGTATGTAGGCTTATAGGTACAAAATACAAATAATGTTTGTCAGTCTGGAATATCTTATACTATTTCAGTCTAGAATATATCTATCTGCAGTCTACAATATCTTGGTATATATCAGCATTGGCTATTTTATAGAAGTTTACATTGTCTTCGTATATAATCTACAAAATATCTTGGAGTAAATCAGTCTTCGATGTCTTATTATCTATCATAGTCAACAATTATCTTATAATCTATCAGTAAGGAATAAAACTAAGTTACATTCAGTTAATACCCCCACTACAGCAAAACTGCACACTAAGAGAATTTCTATTTACCAAATTTCCACAAAAATATTCTTTAATATATTGGTCTCATGGTAAGACCTAGACCCGGGACTGATTTACCTTTTCATTTTGAGGTCCCCAGAGGTCAAAAACACCCTCCGTTAAAATTCATATATATATATACAGTATATATATATATATGTGTGTGTGTGTGTGTGTGTATCTGTTAGCGCGATAACTCAAGCAAAAATGATCCTATTTTGATGAAATTTGTTACAATTGTGTAAACCTACGTTTATTCAAACGAGTTTGCGAACCAGCATAATCGGACTATGGAAATGGGGGTTTATGGGGCGTTTTATGGGGTAAAAACTGGTTTTTCCCATTTTTTACTCTAATATCATACAATTTTACAATTTCTTTCCAGACCATTTTGTAGAGCTTTAAAAGAATAGGCTACTATCGAATAAGAATAACATCAAAATTTTGAAGTTACAATTTTTTGGGAATTTTTTCTGTAACCGTTGGGCATACAATAACGCTTCAATGTACAGGGTAAGGCAGTGAGAGCACCCCAATTTTCTTTCGTTGTCACACTATAAGTGAAGCAACAATGAATGAACAGCTGTGCTAATAACATCAATCAATTAGACTATGCCATTTTAGTAAACATTATGCCTGAGGCTATTAACACTGATGTGGAAACCTATTTTTAAAATAGTGATTCTCGTGCAAAAACCCAGAGATTGTTTGGACCACATTCCATCCTTGGTCAACATGGTGCTGTTACAGACTGGAAAACAACAAATGTTGAAAGAGTGCGAGTCGCAGTAGCTTATAGTCCAAAGAGATTTGCCAGAAACCTTTTGTATTTGAAAGCTTTCAGTTGGCTCTTTTTTTTTTGGGGGGGGGGGGTATTCTGATAAGCTACTTGAAGTTCAAGACTTTTCAAAGTTGCCCCAAAGATTTGCTTGAACCGAAGCTAAGAATTGTCCAAAAACTAAAGTGATTCCTGAAGAAATGTTGGAGAAGTATTTGATGGAGTTTTCAAGTGACTAAAAGAATGAATAAATGAATATAGTTTATTCCAAAAAACATAGGCTTCAAACTGTGATTATAAACTAAATAAAGTATAATAGACAGAGACTTTTGTCACTAAAAATATATTATACAAGTTTTAATAAAGCCAAAAAATATAACAATAAAATAAAGGAACTAGCAGACACAGGCAGTGCTACCTGTGCGTCTGCTAAGTTGCTGTCAAATAGAAAAAAGAAAAATTATTGAATTTTGGAATGGCAATGAAATGTCAAGTAGGACGAGGAAGTCAATTGCAGGATTTTGTTTTCAAGAATTGGGAAAAAATGACTATGTTAAGTTAAAATGGCAAAAGATAAGCTGTGTGTTGATGTGCTATCTATATCGATATGGTGAATATAATTGAGTTTGTACTATTTATAAATTGGGGTGCTTTCATTGCCTCACGCTGTACTAAATGATTTCTCTTTTTAAGCTCTACAAAAATATTAGGATATTTTAGGGGGGGGGAATAGGAAAAACCAATATTTATCCCATAAAACACCATTCCCATAGTCAGATCATGCTGGTTCACAAAACTCGCTCAAATAAACATACAGATTTGTACCAAATTTAATCAAACAAATCGCATTATTTTTGCTTGAGTTATCGCGCTAACGGACACTTAAATAAATAAATTTATATTAATTTGAACAAAGTGTGATTTTGGCATCTGGGGGCCTCAAAACGAAGAAGTAAATATGTCCCAGGTCCAGGTCTTACCATGATACCTACGGTAATAGCTTATTCCCTATATGGGAAATTTGCTAAAATGAGAATTTCAAGGCAATTAGTTAACTTCAAATGAGTTTAGCTGAGCTGAACTGTCATGAGATGAGCTACCAAGTACCAACAGCTTTTAAAATGTTTGGAACAGACTAGATGTGTTTTACTTGGGTAGATTTATATTGAATAAAAAACTGTCAAATACAAAGCTATAGTAAACCCTCTCTTAAACAACTCTTGGATGAGACTGGTCCTCGGTCGAATAACTTTTTAAAGGTTTAAACTAGTAATACGTAACCATGTAAAATATACGAGCAATATCCACCAAGTAACTGCCGTCTGGGCATGACTCGATAGGTAGTGGAGGTAGCGGCGCCATTCTCACATCAGAAATTATAGTCCGTCAATGGGTTCGGATTTAAAAAAAGGAAGAACGAACGTTCACTATGAAGACCGGAGTGGTAGGCCATCTCTCGTCACTGATGACTTGGTGAACAGAGTGAAATAGAAAATTTGGGAGAACTAATCATCATGATCTCGCACTAATTTCCCTGAAATTTCTCTAAGTGACAGAAAAACTTGACTACGATATCAAGCTTTGTGCTCGTTAGATTCCAAAAGAACTCACCGATGTGATCACAAAATGAAAAGAATGAGTTCTGCCAAAGACTTTCTCACTCGGTATAACATTGAAGGAGAACCTTTTTTGGACAGGATTGTTAGCGGAGGGTGGAGATGAATCCATTTTTAATCCCAAAACATTTCTTCAATATTTTTGCCTGACTAGGTAGATTGAGTTTCACAATTTATTTTTAAAGGATACAAAGGAGACTTTTTGTTAAGGATAAATATATTGTATAAGATCAAATTTTACTTTTTATTTTGTTTACGGTTTGAATTTAAAACTAAGCAAGGTTTGAATTTTGATAATTGCTAACCAATCTTTGATGCATTGTTTTTTTATTTGATTTAATTAATATTTGTATATTAGACATAGCCTATTACTGTAATGTTTAATGGCTGAATAAACAATTTGAATTTGAAGGATTAGTTTGACTTTTACAGGTATTTGTAACTTTTAATAATTAGTCTACAAATAATTTATAATTATTAATTACATAACATCATTAAACGACTATTCCGTTCTTATCAGTGTTAAAAAGGAGGCTCGGGATTGGAAGAAATCGCTCCGATGTTCCATTCAGATTTCAATTCCGGTCTCGTTTCCAGACGACACAAAGGCGTTCAAAAAGACCTCGGCTATTTTTGGTATGATTTGGAAGCGTTGGGCACGAAGCGGTTGGGGGGGTTCTTTGTCCAGAGAAGGTCTCGTGGCTGCGCACACCGATGTGAGAATGGCGGTGCTATCCCCACCACTTATTACACCACGTCCAGATGGCAGTTACTTCGTGGATATTCCGCGTACTAAATGTAATATTGATATTATATGAAAAGAAAACTCCAATTGCACATACATCAATTTTTCCCTCTCAATGTTTTCATATAATGGTACTCAAATGGTAATGGACTCAAAAAGAAGGAACAATGAGTATGCAGTGATTGTGTTGGTTACATAACTGAACCAATTGACTCACTGTACCATAAAAGACAGTTTTGCTCATTTTTACTCCTAAAAATAGGGACACATACTTTGTTACAAAAAAAAAAAAAAAAAAAAAAAAACTCAACAAAAGTTGAATTTCAACCACATTGATAATTATTACTGTCCATAATAATACATACATACATGTATGAAACAAACTCTAAAATTAGCTTGGACATTTCATTATAAAAACTTGCTGTAAGTACAGTATTAGTATCGCTTAGACCCAGTTATAATTTATTACTTTGATAAATATAGGACCAGAAATTTCCAGATTCCTAGAAAAGGTCAGTTAAATTAACCAGTTTAAAAATTACCAGAATACAACTACTGTATCTCCATTATAGCCTGGGCAGAGACGGTATTTTTAGTATTGGTTAAGTTAAGAGAAGGTGTACTGTATGCTTTAACCTTTAACCCTAACAAATGTTCATCAATGAAATTAATATTTTAAATACATTAAAACTGCTTTACAAAGAAGGCAATTGTGTCACTCTATCAAAGGGTTTCAAAAGTCTTTCTCCAAATGGCAATATTGTCTATATGAACAATTTTCTGTCACAGTATGAACACATAATGGCAACATAAGATTCAATTCTAAGAAGAAAATATAAAATATTACAGTCAAGTGATAGTTCAATTAAAATAGCTCAAAACATTTAGAAAATATAATTAAAAAGATAAAATCCCATTGTTTTTCTGAAGAGATCATTTTACATTTTTAATGGTCATTCACACAATACTCACTTCAATTTCTATCAAATAACTACAATTTAAGGAAACTAATAAATTCAACCTAGCCTAACCCTGAAAAACTTAAACACAAATTGTGCAACTTTATTACTTATGTTATTTTATAAATTCTAACACGCCCTAGAATAGGTTTATCCCTATTGGTATCTCTGGTATTTCCATTCTTAACTACGAGATTCCCTGCAAAATAAATAACCTCACAGAGCTCTCAAGATTGATTTAGGCTTGGTAAGGATATCTAGTTGCAGGATAAGAGCAGCAAACACATACTCCTCGGGAGAGAAAACAAGCATGTGTTTCCCTCGTACGACATTATGAGTGTTAATAAACAAGAACAGGCAGTAAACAAAGGCTCCGACTCCAGGGAATATGAGTCGAGTCAACGGATTGTGTGGGAGGAACAATGAGCCTAACAAGATGGCGGGCATAGACATTACTAGTAGAATTAGAATTTTGTGGGGAATGTTGAAGTCAATGTTTCCCTGCCAAGCGAAGATTGTGAGGCCAATAATCACAGTGGTAACCATTCCCAGCGCCCAGTATATCTGTCAAGGGAAATAAAACTATATATACTAATAGTTAACTGTTCAATACAAACAAATACTGTGTTCAAGTTTAGGTGATAAACCATATTTTGGGAGTAAATTAAAAATATGTTTTTTTTAATCTGTTGAAAATATAAAAATGTATCTATTATATTATTAAAGTGATACAATCAAATTTTATGTAAACGGTTAAGGCCATTTACCAAATAAAAATATAGGCATATGACACATCAAAATGAAGCTTACCGAGTGTGTAGATTTGCCGAAAAGTATTGATATGGACGAATTTCCAAAGGGCTCTCCCCCACAGGCTGATTTCAAAAGGGCTACGCCTGGCATGTTTCCAGAGTTTACATGATTTAATTTAATTTAGTTAATGAAATAGCTGGTCAGTACAATAAACTGGTGTTTGTTTATTTACTCGAAAAATATGTTTGTGGCGCTTTATGTAAATTTAGGAGGGTTATGTTTGGTTTTAAAGAAAGGTTGTATACGTTTTTTAAAGTATTAATCAAAGTTTCATATTGTAATTTATATAGTAAGCTACAAATAAAGAGGCTTGACTAAAGTTGAAGAATGGTTGTAAACATGTCTTTCGCGAAGCAACAATATGAAGCAATCGATGCTATTGCTACACTAAGGTATGTTGTCATATTCTTTTGGATCTATTAACATAATAAAAAGTAGGGGGTTGAAAGTAAGTAGGTTTACACTTTTAAATCAGTTTATATTTTCAAACTAAATCATAGAGTTGCTGTATTTTAAAACACACATCACAATTACTTTAATAGCTCTCTAGGTCACATTTTATTCCCGTTGCAAAGCACGGGCACAGCAGCTTGTATCTTACTATAATATAATAAATGTGAAAGTTTGTGTTTGTTTGTTTGTTTGTTTGAAGTTCAATCACGCATAAACTAATGGACGGATTGGGCTGAAATTTGGCATGATGACAGCTCACATTCCCGATTAACATATAGGCATATTCTTATCTGAAAAATCCTTTCGGGCTCCGCCCCAGTGGCTCTGGGGTTATTTTTATATTTTACTGAAAGCTAATGAAATAAGAAATAAAACTATAATCAAAGTTTACTATTTAAGTTCATACACGATAAAATATTTAATTTTTAAAATCTTCAAAAGAACTATGGAAGTTGCTATGGAAACTATGTGCGATTTCCCTTTCCCTATGAAACTATGCTTTGAACTAGTTCATTTCTTCAACAGATTAATCCAAAAACCTGTAGTAAGTTAAATTAAAATATAGTTTTAATAAGACGAATACTTTATTAGGTAGCGTTTACAATAAATCCCGATTCAGAATGTTTACCAACAAAAACTAAACAAATAATATTCTAATACCATATGTTCTCAAACACATATGAATAACAACACATCTCCCCTTTAAAGATCGAACCTCCGGGTAGGTTTGAATTGTCTTGTTGATCTTCTTAGATTCGCTAAATTTGTCTGCGATGCCATTGTAGGATGATCGAAAGGTTCTGATCTTCTGAGGTGTTCTGAAGGACTGGTCTGCAGTGCTGGTTGAGAGTGATCAGAAGGCATAGTAGTGCTAAATCTTTGCAGTGATCTTCTGTTCCTCCGCAAACAACCATCTTGCGTTTGAATGATATAGGATCGAGGTGCAGGATGTTTGTTTAATATAGTTCCTTCTTGATTCCTGTCCTTTATATGGACTTGAGCTCCAACAGGTAGAGTAGGCAATTCTGTGGCTCTATATCTTTTGTCAAAATAAATCTTTTGACGATCAATTCTTGCTTCTTCCTTTTCCCTTAACTTTTCAGTGTCTACCAGATAGGGTCTTAGTTGATCAGACATTATTGGAACATAAGTGCGGATCCTTCTCCCGAAAAGTAATTCCGCTGGACTTTTCCCATTTTCTAGAGGGGTTGCTCTTAACATAAGTAGCATTTTGTAGGGATCATCACTTTTTTCTAAGTGGTACTTAAAGTTTTTTACTTGCGCTTCGATGAAGCCGTTGCTTTGTGGAAATTTTGGGCTTGATGTAATCAATTTAAATCCATAATCACGACCAAGTTGTTTGAATTGACATCAGTCAAATTGAGAACCGCAGTCTGCTCTCACTGTCTCAGGTACACCATGAAGTGCGAAGATGGACTTTGTACTGTCCGCGAGAGTAAAGAAGTCCCTTGAGCCAGAGCGATACGCAGCTATGTTTGGAGGGTATCGCACACTATTTGCAGGCGCTAGGCATCTTAGTGCCTTGCCTCGATGTCTGTCTGTAAACAACTGTTGTAAACATAATTACTCATATCTTTGTTTTGGTAAGTGGATTATCTTCATGTGGTCACGTCATTTGATTCAGTGCAGTCTCTTATAATTGCGTATTGGAGTTCTGTTTTGTTTTGGACAGTCCTTGTGGTGGAGAGAGGGATTTAATTTGACGGGTGATCGAGTGTTGTGACAATGAATGTAAAGACAAAAAGTGATCAGTGCCGATAGAAAAGGCAACAGAACGAGCCGCAAACTATTGTAAAATGTCATAAAAAACTATTAAACGAATTAGAAAAACCTGCAAACAAACTCCGGATGTAAAACTCTGTACACTCGGGAAAAAATGCAAGAAGGCTGATCATTATTTATAGACCCACTTTCACCCACTTGATATTCATTTATTTATTTATTCCAACGGGAAACCCATTACACTGAAACATTACCAAGAAATAACAATAAAAATCAAAGCAAGATGTGATACAAATCTACAAATAATTACAACACAGCAACAACGTAATTAATACATTAGTCTAAATTCAACAGCAAAAAATGTGTACTATGAACAAGTAACAATATAACATCACCATATACCATTTATCAAACCATTAACAACAAATAAATATTTTCAGAATTACATCAACAATAAATATATATATATATATTTTTTTTTTATCATGCAACAATAACAACAAATAAATATTTCAAAAAGACAACAATATAATAATCTGACTTGTTCAATACTAACAAAAGATTGTGTCTACATGCATTACAAACTACTGTGTCATTGTCGCAGGCTGTAGAGCTCGTCAGTTGCGACTGATGTGGAACTGTCAGCGAAAAAGTCGATGTGGTGTGAGGCTTTGTTCCCAAGTCTCTGGATTCTATTGAGGGTGCTGTTTGCATCATAGTTGGTGCTCACATGCCGTCTTCCAAAAAGGTCGGTAGATCTGGTTCCAGTACGACAAAGGAAACCAATCTGGCCTAGCAGCTCCGGACAGTCCACGAAACCATTCACCAGCTTGTGCAGAAACACTACTCCAAAAACATCAATTATCAATTATCAATCAATCAATTATCAATTATTTAAGATGGGGACGCCACTATGTGCGTATTTTAACCCAAATATGAGTGAAGGATGAGTGTAGGATGAGTGGTGCGATCTTGTAGTCTTGTTAGTGACTAAGTCATCTCTTCTGACTTCCAAGCTTTGGAGGTTGAACAATGGCTCGAGATCTCTAATAGGAACTTCTCTGAAGGCAAACCCCATCCGACAGCCAAGGAGACGTAAGAACCTGTCTTGGATGGTCTGAAGCTCCCGAACCAGGGTAATCTGATGCGGCGACCATACTACGCAGTTATATTCAAGCAGCGGACGTACAAGGGCACAATAGAGTGTCCTAAGAGAGTGATATGAGTGTGAGAGTGAGAGAGTGAGTCCTAAGAGAGATATGAACGCGTCATACCGCGTGAAGAGTGAAGACGGCTCTAATTGTCCCGTGAAACGTTCAAGCCTAACGCCTTCAAACTGGGAATAGGCCGGAGCTCAGGGGACTTCTTTTCTCTCGCGGACAGTATATGTCACAATAGTGCCCATTTTTAAGTCATTTAGTCTAGCAATCTCCATAAACCTGGAATAATAGTCTGAGATTAAGAGATACCAGTGACCTTTGCACTTCAGCAAATCGGCACCCACTATTTGCCAAGGTCTATCCGGATAAGGGGTTGGTATCAGCGGCTCTGCTCTCGTAGCACGATTTTTGCATATATCATGCAATTTTCTACTAGTTCTTTGATATGTTGAGAAAGACGAGGCCACCACACAGTCAATTTTGCAAAAGATCTACATTTTGTTTTGCCTTGATGTCCTTCATGAATACTTCTTAGTATATTAGCTCTTAAAGAATTTGGTATTATAATACGACTTCCAAAGAGAAGTATACCATTTTGCTCACTTATATCTTCTCTATGATACCAGTAGGGCAATACGTCCTCTGGAATCTTAGATTTTTCTGGCCAACCTTTCACACAATACTGAGACACATGTTTTAGAGTTTCATCTTTCATAGTTTCTTGATTTATTTCTTGCAACCTTTCATCCGAAACTGATGGTAGAGTAGTGTCAATATTTTGTATATAAGCAAGGATTTCCTCTGTAAGTTCCCATTCCTCTTCAGAGTTCTCTGTGTCTCGAGACAGTGCATCAGCCAAAATCAACTGTTTACCGGGCGTGTAGGTAATATCATATGTATATATCATCAGTCGGAGTCGTATTCTCTGAAGCCTGGGAGTAATATTGTGAACCCTAATATGAAGTGTTCAAATAGTTCACACCCCCATGCAATCGCTAGAGCTTCTTCTTCTATTTGACCCCAATTACGTTCGGCTGATGACAAACTTCTCGAAGCATAGGCCACAGGACGTTTAGTTCCATCTTCTTGAAGCTGAAGTAGTGCAACTCCAATACCGTATGACGAAGAATCCGCTGAGAGGAAGGTTTCTTTAGACATGCTGTATAAAGCGAGACACGGTTCGCACATCAATGACAGTTTAATCTTTTCCAAAGCTTGGTCTTGATCAGGCCCCCAAACAAATTCTGTATTTCTTTGCAGTAAAGCATGTAGTGGATGAACTATGGTCGACAAATTATGAATAAACTTTGCTACGTAATTGACAACACCTAGAATTCTCCTTAGTTCTTTAACATTAGTTGGTGTCTTGAGTTTTCGGATAGCCTCAACACGAGA